GGATAGGACCCAAGAGTCCTGACTCCCAGCTCTCTGCTCTAACCACTGGACTCCCCTCCCTGAACCAGGAATAGAACCCAGGTGTCCTGGCTCCCAGGTTTTTGTTCACGGAACGACGGAATTGGGTGGACTGGCTGTAGTGAGTTTGACAGGTCTCAGTCCAGTTCAGCAAATGGGACACGGACCCCAGACTGCTCTCAGCCCCTAGGGAAGGTCCCTCCAGGGGTGGGACGCGGCAGTTGTATAACAGTGCACAGCAACCCCACACAGGCCTGGCTCACCCAGCACTGACATGCAGCCACCTCTGGGGTGGGACGTGGCAGCTGCATAACAATACATGGCCCCGCGACGCAGGAATGGCTCACCCATTGACATGCAGCCACCTCTGGGGTGGGACGCGGCAGCTGCATAACAATACATTGCCCCGCGACGCAGGAATGGCTCACCCATTGACATGCAGCCACCTCTGGGGTGGGACGTGGCAGCTGCATAACAATACATTGCCCCGCAACGCAGGAATGGCTCACCCATCGACATGCAGCCACCTCTGGGGTGGGACGCGACAGCTCGGTAAGAGCGCAGAGCATTGGCAGAGGGGGACAGTGAGTAGAAACAGAAGGCGATTGGCTGCTGACCTAGCAGAGAATTCACGCAAGCTAGAAACAAGGACAGGAGCCAGGTCAGCCTGTTGGCTGGAGTGCAGGGGCCTCTGGCTCACTGCCTCTGCGGCCAGGTCTATTGGCTTAAATACACAGGGACTTCACTCCCGCTGGCCGGTCCCTTGCTCCCACCTCAGCTCTGGCAGCCGGTCTGTGGCTGGGGGCTGTCAGTAAAGCAAATGGATTTGAATTCGATTAGCGGCTGGGGAGAGGACCAAAATAAAACGGCCGGGTGGGGGAGAAACAGAGCAAGCCAGAAGAAAAAGACAAGGAGAGGGAAGGATAAACCAGGGCCTGGATCTTATATGTCTCTGTGGAGTCTCATCTTGAAGAATCTCTCTATACAGATCGCTTTGTGCAACAGTGCAATGCAGCCACCTCTGGGGTGGGGCATGGCAGTGTAAAACGGTACTCAGGAATTGTGTACAGTGATCACTCTCCCAGCACTGACATGCAGCTGCTTCTGGGGTGGGTCATGGCAGCTGCATAACAGCACACAGCAGTGCCGCACAGGGCTGGCTCCCCCAGCACTGACATGCAGCCACCTCTGGGGAGCCTGTGTGTAGAAATGGACCCTGTCTGCATTAGAGTGTGTATGCATGGGGGGGAACGTAGCAAGCCTGGGACCCTGCCAGCATGGGAGAAGAGATGTGTTAGGTGAAGGAGGGATATGGCCTCATCCCACTCCCTTTCTCCCTGCTCTATGCTGACCCCATGCCTGCCTCCTGGGATGTGTCCACGGCCCCCTCCCGCCCTGGGCCCCCTCCAGTCCAGCTCCCTGGCATCCGCCAGCCTCCGCTTTCCCTGATCCTGCAGTTTGTCAGCGTCCATTATTAACCTGGCTGCTGATGGGCATGGGGGGGCGGAGGCTGGACAAGACGGCCTCAAGTAACCTCAGGGGCAAAGGGACCCAGCTCTGATCGGATACTGTCCCCCCCTCCTTCCCCATGGCCATTTCCCCACGCCTCTCCCTGCCAATGCCTGCCCTGAACAATCCTTCGGGGAGGGGACAAGGTTACACCAGCATCAAAGTCCTGCCTGGATAGCTTATTTCCCTCAGGGAACTGGTGTAAGCTGTATGATAGAAACTGCAGTAACCCACCCCAGAGGCAGCTGCATTTCAGTGCTGGGGGATCCCTGTACTGTGCCGCTGTGCACTGGAATACAGCTGTTACACCTTCACTGGGGGGGTTTTCTCTGGTCTAGCTCCACTGGCAAACACTTTTGAGTGTAGACAGGAGTTCCTTGAGTGGCGCTCAGCCCGCGTCTGGGCTCCTGTGTGTGGGGGTGTCGCAGTGTGTCTGTGTGTCTCTCGCGGTGTGTGTGTGTCGCTCAGGCTGTGGGTACGACAACACAGTGAACCCGGGTTCCCACTCAGGTTTGAGCCCAGTCCCCCTTTCGTCCACACACAAATCAGCCTGACTTGGGCCCGGAACCCCTCGGGACTTGGGCCCGTGGCCCCTGCTAAGGAGGGTGGGTCAGAGCCGAGTCTTGCTGAGACTCGGGGCGGAGCCCTGTCACTTCGCAGTATGGAGGCCGGTCGAACCGCAGCCCCGAGCCGGAGGGTCGGCGGAGCAGTGTGGACACGTTAGTGCGGCCGTGAGACCCGGGTCTGGCAAGGGTAATGCTGCCGTGTGGCCGGACGCCCAGGCACGGGCACGGAGCCAGCGAGTCCCCCAGCACGGATCCCGCTCTCCGCTGGGTCTCAGCGTCTGTCTGTCCGTCTCACGGCGCGGCTGCGTCTCGGCGAGTGTTGGCGGGGAGGGGAGTGGGGATGGGGCGCCCGGAGGCGCTGGTGGCTCCACTCCCTTCCCCTCCCAGGCCCTGCCGGCCTCGCGCTGTCAGCCCTTCGCAGCGTGTTTGTCTGTGTGTCTATCACCCACCGCAGCCCCAGGCACCTGGGCCGGGTTGTGGGGAGGTGACGCTCCCCCTCCCCCGGGTGACTTGGCCCCCAGAGAGGAGCACAAAAGGGGCCCAGCCTACAGCTGAACTTGCTAGGACCTGATGGGGTCCCTCTGCCCTGCTTAGGACCCCCCCACGGGGGAAGCTCTGGCCCCACTTCAGTAACCAGAGCCCCTGTTGCCAAACCCTCTTCCTCCAAACCTCCCAGGGCAGAGGGGCAGGACGGGGTCCCCACTCCATCTCCTCCCAAGCCCCTGCCTCCTGCACAGAGCTGGGGGGAGGTGTGGGCAGCTCCAGGGCCGATGCCAATAGCTGATGTGCTCCATCCCCTGCTCTGCCCCTGCTCTCTGTGCCCCACACAGGGCAAGCTGCATGGGGCAAGGCCCCTCTGCTGCACCCTATTCCCGACCTGGCCCCTCCCCAGAGCAGAGATCCCCCCCACCCCTCCCCATACACACACCAGCCCCTTCCCTGGAATTTTTGCCTAGCTGGGTACCAAGACCAGGATCCTGCCAGCATCCCAAACGCCCGGGGTCCATCTGCCCCCGGTGATGCCCCCTCCAGCCCCTCCCAGTGCCTCCCATACCAGCCAGATGCCCGCTCTGCTCCCCATTCTGTTCTCCCAGTGCTGCCACTCCCCTGGGCTCCTCTGCACGGCACAGGGGGCATGGGGGGCTCTGGGTTTCCTCCTCCCATCCCTCTGCTGAACGCTGCCTCTGGGACAGGGGCAGGGGCAGGGGCAGGGGCAGAGGAAGTGGCAGGCTGGCTGCAGTGCCCCCTACAGGGAAAGGCCAGAAGTGGCCAGGAGCTCGCCCCCCCCAAAACCAGCACCTCCAGCTGGGAAAGGCCGGGACTGGGATTGCAAACAGAGCGACTTTGATTCGGCTGGGGGGGGAAGTGCCAGCTGATTTTCTAAACAGGTGTGAACTGATTTTTTAGCTCAGAAAGGCCTTGTGGGGGTGCAGAGGGGAGTGGAACCCCCCCCCCCCAATGCAGCGTGGTCCCAGCTCTCGCTCTCTGGCAGGGGAATCTGAGGCCGAGAACAAGTTTGCAGCCCCCTTCGTCCTGTCCAGACTTGCTGCTGAATCCCACAAATGCTTCTCGCCCGGGCGGGAGGCGGGAGGAGGGGAAGGGCCCCAGAGAGAGGGAATGGGAGAGGGCGGGAGGGAGGGAAAGAAGTGCA